TTTTTTTTTAAGTTTACAGCTTATATAATTGACAGGACAAATCTTTCCTGCCTTAACCATATATGATATGGTGGTTGAATGTTTCTTTCCCTCACTTAATTAAGTGTGATTGCTTACTTTCAGTTCAGGTCTGATTAATATGCTACACTAGCTGATTTTGGCCTCGTGTTTAATGGAACTGGTCAAAACTTTTCAAAACTGCCCACGCAATGTAAATTCCATCTGGAAATTTGTTTTTGTTCTTGTTTGGAATGAAAGCAAGTATCTACAAACATTCCTGCAAACTGGAAATCCAAAMTATGTTGTGGTTGCAGATTTCTGTGCAAAAAAATATTGATTTTGTAACTTACACGCGAGCACTTAAACCTTTTAAGCTCCTAACCCTGACTTATTTTATAATGCAGTTGTGCTTGCAATGTGACATCCCAAGAAGAGCCACCTGAAGGTATCTCAGTAGTAGTCACAGACACTAGGGCCACTGTCGTGTARTAAGGAACGTGAATCAGCTTGTCCACCAGTGCTGATCTGCCCCATTACAAGAAGACATGATGGGTAAGAAAAGAGGTAAAAAGGGCAGGACACTTCAAGGCATTTCGTCCAGGAACAGTAGAAAATGCTCTGGTGCGTCCTGCAAGTGCCTTTGGGTATGACAGCAGGACTTGCATGTCATGAGCAAATGTCTAAATAATGCAGGAAACACCCAAATGCGGAAACGGGAATCAAAACCCCCAGATCAGGCATGCAATCTTGAGATTTTCTTAAATGAAATTCCCAGATTTTCCAGCATAGGATTCCTGGAAGGAGAACGTGCGTTAACTTCTCTCTTGGGGGAAAGCATTTGCAAGSAGCACAGCTTTTATAAGAGTATTGTTTATAATAAAATATTTCTGATCAAAAGCGATCTCAGYGGAAGACTTCGGAACTGTCTAAAAAGTTTCAGAGATATTTTCCTTTTCTCTCGATTTCTGCTGACTCCGGTCACTAGTGCTGTCAACATTATTTAGAAATGCCATTCTTCAGTGCTCAGGGCTGTTTCCTGGTGAAGAAATAACACCAGAAAAAAACACCACGCTGACATCCTGAAGGCTGCCCAGAACTGCTGTGGCCAAGGGGACATTTGCAGACACGTGGGATTTAGGTGGCTACAGTTAGCAGCTATTTTTTTAATCAGTTTATGGCATGCTTTCATGGCCAAATGTGAGACTTTGGGTAGGGCTGATGTAYCCAGCAGAGCTCTGGGCTGATAGTGTTGTTTTGCTCCTGCTACCCAAGTAACTTCCATAGACATCCGGACCTCGCTGTGTTGAGCTGGCCCAGATGTGACAGAAGGGGAGATCTCAAACTCCCCATTCTCGGGCTGTGCTGAACTTGCTCTGGCCAGATATGTCCATGTGAAGGGGGTGACTCATGTCCTTGCTCTGTGCCAGCCGGTGGCGGAGGTGAATTAGCCAATGGTGACCTGAACATGAGTCACTGGAAGGCAGCAGCAATTGCCTGCAACTTTCCGTTTCTTGGCCCTTCTATTTTTGGGCCCGGCAATTACGAGGTGAGCTGTGAATCACTGGTGTCTCGATTTACTCCGGGAGGAAACCAAGCTAATTGTGTTAACGTGCTTGGCAAGAAGAACTCTTGTTCTCCAGCGTTTTACAGGTCTTGGCCTTTCTTCTTGCTCCCCAGAGCTCTGTGTTTGCAGTTCCTCGTGTGGAACCATCGCACAGGGACTGAGCGAGGGCCAGAGGGCCTCGGGTTGGTGCTCCTTCCATGCCTGTGTCTCGTTGGGGACAGGAACGGATGCTTCAAAGGCTTGCAGGGGARTCCCAAGAGATTCCAAGGCTTTTATTTATTTGTTTATCCTTGAGAAGAGTGTGGTCCACGTGGCGGGGTTTAAATCAGAAAATAGCATCAAAGAGGAAGTCAAAGAGCCATGTCGATGTTGAGGATGTTGACGTTTGTGGGAGTTTGTCTTGCAACATTTTGCTACTCAAGGGAATGATTGTGCCCTGAGGCTTATTCCTTACTGTTTGCTCTGCTACATGATGCACAGCAACACATCTACATCAAAACCCCCCAGTAGATCTAGTGGGGAGGGTCACTGATCCTTTTTGGTGGGTCTTCATGATGAGTCAAGAGAGGTACAGGGAGGAGTTTTGTGCTTCCTTGTGTGCAGTGAGCCCTGTCATGACCCCAAACTTGACCTTATGCACAAACCACATCCCACCCCTCTGTTCTACTGCCTCTTCTTGTCCCACCTGAGCAAGATGACTCAATAGATTCACCTGCTGTCCCTTGTTTCAGTGCTTCAGAACTCCTGAGCACGTTTGCTTCTCTGGCCCATCCTGCCTCTGCAAGTCTCTTCCCATCTCAGCTTTATAATTCAGTGTGTGTGACTGTTTAAAACTAGTCTCCAAATACTTCCTCTCGCATACAAGAAAACTGAAGACATATACATATATACATATTGTATGCAGGAATTCCCAGGCTGGGAAGAAATCCGTCGAGGATTGTTAGGCTGCTTGAGAAGGAGAGGAGATGGGGGAACTGTAAACTGCAGGAATTTGAAAAACCTACTTTAATTTAAGAGGAATGTCCTTTTGTTCCCCAACGGGTAGGCCCAGATCCAAAGGCATTCAGGTGCAGTAACGATGACCAGATGGGCTGTGAAAAGCAACACAAACAGGTGGCCAGGACAACAACTGTAGACTTTAATTTCCTTGTCAGCTTCTCTGTGGCTTATGTGGCCCCTTGAGAGCATGAGCATAAGGGCAACTGTCATAATTTCTATATGACAAAAGCAATGAATGTCAGGAGGTCACTCTATAACGGTATTGTGGGTAAAGTCATTAGAGTCTCACTGGTGAAACTCATCTGCTCTAATATGTATTTTACTTAGCATGAATACAGTATCAAATATAATATACGAGCATGTCCATTTGATAGATATAAATAATATAGATATATTTGGATGCTTATTGATATGCATATTGCATCAGACCCTCAAGTGTAACTGCTGGGGGTTCTGCTGGCCATAGCAGCTTTGGAGGCATTAAAAGAGTGTTAAAAGTTTTGTTGGGTTTAGTAAGACCCTGCACTGACTTTCACTTGAGTGAATGGTTATGGTTTAGGTGGCTGGCAGTCCCCTTTCTCTGTGCCGTGGTTGAGCAGGCTATTGTAGACGTGTGACCACATGTGGATGGTCCTGATGTTGGGGCTTTTTCTGCTCGAGCCCATTCTTGTTACTGGGGAAATGTCAGGAGGCTCCTGAGCTTCTGGGAGGGATAGTGTCCCATGCAGACTGACTTGTAGACGTATGGGCATCTCTTTGCATTCCCAACTTCTTCCATGCAAGGAGCCTTCCTTCTCATAGCTTTAAAGCGTTGGTTTATGTTTAGTCTATTCATGCAGAAAATGCCCTGAAGGGACAGATAACGGGACTTTTTTTTTTTTTTTTCCTCCCCATTTCAGTGTTGTGTTGGAAAATTTCCCACTCCTTCCCACTCTTTTCTATGTGTAAAGATGGGTCATTTTTCCTAAAATCTGGGGACTGGAGCCCGTGAAAAGGGGTGAATTCAAGCCAACAGAGTATCGGTCCTGCAGTCTGAACAGGCTGTGTATCTAAGGCAGCTATGGCATTGCAATGACTCTTACAGGTTGGTGCCTTGCGCTCTGCTTTCTTTGGACGTGGCTTCACACTCTAACTGAAGTGTTTGTTGTGCTACCCATATAGATGATCAAACCCCTGGAGCCATCACTCACTACTTGCCAGCATCTGCTGATGTCCATGCATCAACAGCTCCACCCCTGCTGGTAGATTGGAAAGTGCAACAGCACAAAAAAGGAGAGATGCTGATGAATGGGTATTCACCATGGCCAGGAAAGCCTCACAGTTATCTTGGCACTCATGTTTCTCCATCTTTAGGCAGTAAAGATGGCTACAAGCCTATGGATAGCCTGATTTAGCGATGCATTAAATACAAGCCAGGCACAAAACAAGACATGCTTTTATGGGTTGCACACCTTGTTGTTCACCACAGAGAATGGCATTAGCTTGGCTGTAATCAAGCTAGTGAACTGAAGCCTGGCTTTCTTTGCACCATTGACAGGCAAGCGTACCTTGATGGAGTTAGTAGGAGCTGGTGTTGGAGTTGTGGTCAYTCCTGAAAGCTATGTTGTGTTTCTGTAAGCTCTTGGAAATGTAAATGCCAGAGAAAAGGAGTTCTTGCCTTTTTGTAGTCAGGAAAAATTACTAGTATTGTAGGAAATAGGAGATATGTTTTGGAGCGTTTTGTTGTTGTTGTTGTTGTTGTTTTTAAGAGATAGAGAGATTGAGGCATGAGATAGCTTGAGAGAGTTGGCCCAAGTCTTGCGCAGCTCAACCTGGAAGGGAATGCTTGGGTCAACACACTTCCTACCTCCTTTTTCCTAATCCGATGCCATTAAAGGGCAAACCAGTCCATACTTCCCGTTGAAGCCTGGAGAAAGGAGACAGTAGCAGCTGAGCCTGGGCTGAAGACCCAGCATGCCTGTACACTTGCTGCATACATAAAAGATGTGCACATGCAAAATGAGGAACGGGAACAAGGAAACAGGGGAAATCTCTTCCCTCAAAGTGGCCCATTCATGTTGGTGTTCAGACCATTTTTTTTTTTCTGCAGGTCCATTTGATCATGAACTCTGCAGAGCACAGAGGATGGGAAGGGGAAGGAATGTCTGATCAAGAAAAGCACTCATACTTGTACATCTATCCACTAACAGAAAGAAAGCTGGATTTAAAGTCTTGCTCTGGGATTTTGGTGTTGTATCTCATCCCTAGGAAAAAGTGCTACAGAGATGAGCAGGATGAGAAGATACATGCTAGTGGTGGTTAAGGTGTGGTGATGGCATTGGTGCAAGCCCTTTCCTATACTCAATGAGCTCCATCCTAAAACCATTGAAGTCATTCACTCTTTTGCCAAAGGCTTTTTTGTTTTTCAGCCTTTCACCTCTCCACTTGTCTTTTCTAGATGAACAGCTGAACTCCGAAGAGAAGAAGAAGAGAAAGCAGAGAAGGAACCGGACTACCTTCAACAGCAGCCAGCTCCAGGCGTTAGAGAGAGTTTTTGAGCGGACACATTACCCCGATGCCTTTGTACGGGAAGACCTTGCTCGCAGAGTCAACCTAACTGAAGCAAGGGTCCAGGTAATTCCCCATAGCTTATGTCTGGGTACGTCTTGCCTTGGTGTTGTCATGASGCTGTTCTATATGGCAAGAGAGGTCATCACGACTGCCTGGCACATTTGGATGACCAAGCTACTGGTCCACTTATATTGCAGTCCTGAGCATGCTGTGCCTTGAAAAGGGCTGCCTGACCTGCCACTATACATCAGATCTGCCCTTTCAGACATGTTCATGGTCCTCTGGAGGCCAAGATGTTGCCTGTGGTCTGGATGTCCTGTGCTGAGACTGTGTACATTATTTTGAGTTTCATAGCTCTTGACTTGTGAGCATGCACTTCCTGGTGAGGCACAGCACAGAAGCAGATTGGGGAACATRCTGAATTGTACAACACTCACAGACCTTGCTACCCATCGTGAGCTCTGACTTAGCCCTTTCAGGGGCCTCRCTGAGCCAGTTTCTTGTGCCAGAGCTCTGACAGGGCAGAGAGATGTGTTGTCTGGTCATTATGGTTTTTTGATGACAGACATGTTACAGCAACCTGCTTCTGCAAAGTCCCATCTTGCCAAGTGGAGCTCAAGGGGTATGGTGAAGTGGCAGGTGACATGGCAAAGCTGTTGTGACAGCCAGCATGTCTGTGTGCTCCCCTTTGCAGGTGTGGTTCCAGAACCGGAGAGCAAAGTTCCGTCGGAACGAGCGGGCCATGCTGGCCAGCAAGAACGCCTCTCTGCTCAAATCCTACTCAGGGGACGTGACTGCTGTGGAGCAGCCCATAGTACCTCGTCCAGCTCCAAGACCCACCGACTATCTCTCCTGGGGTACTGCCTCGCCTTACAGGTGAGTGAGTGAGGCCTCTTGGACTGGCCAGGCTCCACAGGCCTTGTCTGACTGTTGCTTTCAGGATGACCTGGMAGTCCCCTCTGCGGGACTTCATCCGACAATCTAAATTACTTGTAGTTATCTAAAAGTGGGCCTGAAGTGGGAGCTTGGTGCTATTTGCTATATACAGGGATGTGTGTGACCAAGCTGTGCTGTGGTTTGCCCACAGTGAGGACCAGGTGTGCCTGAGGGACAGACGRGTTCAACATTCATCTTCTGTGGCCACCTTTGCTTGAGTGGTGGTGCTAAAGGAGGACTTGGTAACCCTCAGTCTGCTCAAAAGAGCAGGGATATCCCTAAAGTTCAAAAGCTTCCCTGCCCTTCTCTGCCTCATCCACAACCCAGCACTGGGTGTGGATRCAGATCCACAGGATGTGCTGGTTTGTGGGGAGCCAGCTGACATATGGGCAGTTATAAGTGAAGTTGGTGGGTAATTTTTAGCACAGTGGCTTAATTTTTTGGTCAGCACCTCAAAGGCTCTGACTGGGTTTCTTCCTGTTCAGACGTCTCAGACGTAACCAACTTCCCACTGTCTACTGGGAGCTGCACCAGGCTAGAGRCCTCTCTCCCTCAGTCATTTTGGGCACCTTCTCTAGCTCCAGCATTCATCTATGCAGTTAGGTCTGCAAAGAYCTGGCCTTCCTCATAGCTGGTTGCTTTAGCCCTGTGGGTTCCTCCTTTTCCACACATAACTGCAGAAGAAACTCTTAAAGTGTTAAGTTCATCCACCATACTGCAAAGGATGCTTTTGCTGGCCACCATCTTGGTCTTGGAGATGGTCCTTGTCCTTTGGATTTTATCTGAGAACTGTTTTCTAGCAAAGCCCCCCTTTTAGGGCTAAGGCTTTCTCCCTGTGAAGTGCTCCTTGGTATTGTGTCCTAGGCAGGAACTTGGGTGGTAAAGAGTTGAGGGGAGACAAGTGCAGCTGCTAACTCGTTCCCCACCCTGCTAAGACTGCTCTGGTCAAGGTACCAGATCCCTACTGAACGCTTGTGGCTTATTTCTACCTCTCACACTTTTAAAAATAGATTATCCCTCCCAAGATGTTGTTTACACGAGGGACTTCATAATGGCTTCTAGGAGAAGACCCTACAAAGGTAACTTCCAGGGACACACTGGGAATGGCTCTTCGGGACTTCTCTGGGCAACAAGAAGCCCCAGGCAGCTGAGACATACAAAGCAGGAGAGAAAGAGAAAAGGGAAAGCCTTAGAAATGAGTTTTTCCCCTTTAGGTGGGGGCCCCAAGGCCCAGCACACATGTGTAAGTACACTTTAGTGGAAATGGGTTTCAGCCACGACCTTTCAGCAAAGACATTTGCAGTGTAAATCCATGAGTACAACTTAAAGCYATTCCCCCTAGTTGATGTGCCAGTGTGGACTGTCTTCTTCCCACCACCCATGCTATGCAGTGGAGAGGTATAAGCAGAGGARCAGAGCAGTTGGTTTCAGCAACATGGGGTGGTTAGGACCCCGAGCAGGTTAYACCTCTCCAGACTTCAGCCCTAGCTTCAGGAACAATGGCCTAGTCTTGTGTTACTGGCCTAGCCAAGAGGTTAAAAACGTAGGTAAACTGAGGCAGATGACTGAGCGACTTGATCCTGGCTGCAGATAAGCTCAGTAGCAAGGTCAGAAATAAAACTAATGTCTTTAATTCTAATCCCTCAGGTATCTAGCAATCACATTCATGTTAATGGATGCTGAGCCCAGGTTCTCACTGATTCACTCAGGCTTTGAACTGAGTAGGGTGGTGGACTCTTGGTGATAAATAACTCTGCAGATTGTTTGCAGAGCTCCTGCTCCCTCCCCGTCTCCTCACAACTCACCTCACAACTGTCTGATTACCCACTGGTTCATGATAGGGCTGAGAGCATTTTGTTAGATCTTAGATTGGGGTGGGGAGAAAGTTTTCAATCAGTGTGTTTTTTCTGCAAATACAATCAGCCACAGGTCAACCAAAAGCTATTTGCGGATCTATGCCACATAGATAACCAAGTAGATACTATTATTTTTTTGAAGTTGAAATGTTTGCTTAGACATTTTTTAGTAAAGGTTCCCAAGAAAACAAAATTCACAGTCGTGCTGTCAGCCTGCACTTCCCACTCTAACAACCTCTGACTCCAGAAGACATTGAAAACCATATTTGTAAGTAGGATTTTAGGTCACAAAAACATGATGTTCCTCTGTTTCATAAAAGCAAGTAGCTGAGGAGAAGAAAGAGCCTCTTTTAGTATATGTGTGTGTGTGTGTGCGTGTGTGTGTGTGTGTGTCTGAACTGAGTGGAGAAGGCTGCAGGGTGATCTCAACTCATATTGGACACCAGAGAGTTTTTGGGCCAAGTCCTCAAGCCATAACAATGGTTTGGAGACAGCCTACATGGGCACTACTCCTTGGGGAATAACTTGCCAGAACAGGATTTCTGCAGAGTTTTGGTTTAGTAGAGTTTTCATTATCCAACAGTAATTTTCCCCACAACTTTTCYGGGATAAGAGCAGTAGGCTCTCTGAAACTTTATATGAGTACTTTATTGGCTAGTGATAGTGAATAGGTCTGGGGAGACATGAAAYTAAATGAATACTTGCAGGAAGACCTGAACCTCGGTAAGGAAGATATTGGAGTAGTCTTAAATAGACCCAACACTTAATGAACTTCAGCATGACCCAAAGTTCTTATTTTGTCTAGACTGGAGCATCCTTCTGGCTCTTCTCCCTTTTTCCTCCACAAAACACAGAGGAGATGAACCCTAGGGAAGCAGGGAGGAAGATGGCGCCAGAAAAAAAGGATGAATATACATTTTAAAGGATATATCTGTATCTTAACTTGTGGATTTTAATGTCTGTAATCCGTGCCATTCCCAAACCTGTCCAAGACACTTGTCTCTAAGCGTGCTGAATGTCTGCTCTCCTGGTGCAAGTGTGCGAGCTATCACGTCCACCAGTGTCGACTGTTGTATTTCCACCGGTGCCCATGGAGATGACATCAAGAAAGTCTTATCCCTCTGCCTCAAGAGGGTGCCTCAAGTGYGCCTCTTGAGTCTGCCTCAAGAAAGTCCTATTCTTGATTTTAAAATGAGAAATAAGTGTTCAGTGGCCTAGGAGAGGGACTAGTAATATCACTGGGATCTTCTAAAAGACTGAGGATTCAGGCAGTGCTGAATTGAAATTCTGGCAGGGCAGCTCAGCCCTGTGAAGTCAGTGCTATCATGAGCGTTTTTGAAGGAGCAAACACATCCTCTGCCTGGAGCTTTGCATGCGGCAAACGCCCACATCCCTCCAGGAAGACTGGCTGTTCCAAAGACTCTTCCAGTCATAGAAGTCAGCACCGGAGGGAAAAAAAAATCAAAGGGGGGGAAAAAAAAGGCAAAACCAAACAGGCTATGTCATTTCTTGGGCGGTGGGTGGAGGAGAGATCTCTAGAGGCTTTCCCAGACGTGAGCCACCCAGAAAGGCAGTTTGAGATGATTTGCACCACACCTGAGCTGTTGTCCAGAACATACTGGGTGATGTCACCCTAGTTCGCTCAGTGTTTCTCAAGTGTTTTTGATATGTGGACACACACATGAGGAAGGCAACGGAGCAGAGATTTGGCTTTTTTGGTGGACAAGGGATTACTTGTCACCAAAGTCTGGGACGCTCGGGTTAATCAAGTATTCTGGCTGTCTGACAAGTAGATTAGCAAGTTTTTGTTAGAAGAAGAAAGGGTTCTGACATCTTTGTTCATCTTCCACTGCCAAAAGTAATGTTTTTCACAAATAGAGACATGTTTTGAAGGGAGCAAAATGTTTTGTTTTTGGCTTTTTTGGGTTTTTTTTTTTGTGTGTGTGGGTTTTTTTTTTCCCTCAGCCTTTAAGGCATGTTCTACAAGATCAGCTGAGGTTTTGAGGGAAGAATGTGGGACTTTTCATTCCAAAATGCTGAAATAACAGAGCCTCACAATTGTTAAAATGGGTTTTTCCCAGAGCCTTTCTTTGAAGTAACATGTGTTTCAGAAGAGACATGATTTCACAAACAATAAAAATAAGAACCGGCCTCATCAAAAAGCCATTTCTTGCAATGGAAATATTTTTAAAGACAATGCTGTAGTTGGCAGACTGGGCACTGTGACCTCATTGTAAACCCTTTAGATCAAAAGATGGGAAATGGAAATTTTCCTGTTGTTTTAAAACACCTTAGGGATGGGCGATACTCAGGTGAGTGAGTTGAAGCAGAGAGATTTGTTGGGATGTGACCTCTGACAGGATGTTTCTCTCTTTTTTTTGTCCACCCTACAGTGCCATGGCCACCTACTCCGCCACATGCACCAACGCCAGCCCCGCGCAGGGCATGAACATGGCCAACAGTATTGCCAACCTGAGACTGAAGGCAAAGGAATATAGTTTACAGAGGAATCAAGTGCCCACAGTCAATTAATGACTGGAGGCTGCTGCCTCGCAGAAGGAGAGAACACAACAGCACCCGTCCTGCTTCGCAATTTGTGCTGAAAGAAAAAGAAAAAATTAAAAAAAAAAAAAAGAAAAAAAAAAAAAAAGCCAACCCTCAACCCAGAAATGAACACTGGGACCAAAGTGGGAGCAAACCAAACCGCTCACAAGTGACAGGGTTCCTCCTTCGTTTTGGGATAATGCCACCATTTGTTTTATTTTCTTCTAAATGTCAGGTTTTATTGCTTCTGCTCAATATACTACGAGCTTCTTCAGTTAAGGACAGTCTCACCCTTGTCGCTTTCCGTTTTTATATGGGACTGCCAAAAGAAACGGCTGCTGACATCAGCCTGCGGTCACCTCCGTACATCACGCCGAGATGCAAAGCTTGCTCCTGCCTCCCTCTGCCCCGGCTCCCCTCCAAAGAAGAAATTCTTCCATCACTTCTTCCTAACGTATCCACCTGACCCTCAAGTCCTTTGTCCAATGGAGGCAGAGTTGTTTCCTGACAGACTATGATAAGCCTATYGAGGCAACGTGAAGGGATCATCCTCCTCAAATTGCCAGGACTAGTCCGATACATGAGGAAGACCTCCAAGGCCTTCGCAGCGCTTCATTGCTTTCTTGAGTAGTCCCAGCCTTGCCACCGTAAAAAGCCAAAGGAAAGAGAAAAGCCAACGTGCGTGTGTGAGTGTGCGTGGGGGATGTAGTGGGGGGTTTGCTCTGTAGTGCCAAGAATAGGACTGTTAGGACACTCTRTGCCTTACAGTTTGTGCCACAGGGAAAGGCGTTGTCCAAATGCATTTGTTTTATATATACTGTATATATTTATATATATAAGATATACATGCAAGCTTGGTTGGTGTTTTTTATTAAACAAAATAAAATCCATTGAAAACGTTTGGGATGTCTGTGCTGCATCCAGGTATCTGGAGCCGTGCATTGAAAAGCCACCTGCTCTTATCAGCCCTGCTCTCGGTTGCCTCGGGCAGTGCTTGAAATGGCCAGTTCTTGTCTTCCCATGGGAAAACTCGGAAGAGGAGGAGGAGGAAGCCATCTTTCTTTGCAGATTTTCCCTGTAGGTATTTGCATCTTCATGGAATAAGGGAAGGATATCACCCACCAGACAGGTAGATAGATCCATTTGCCTCTTGGATGCACACAAGGAAGACCCCATGGAAAGTCTCTGCTCCCCTCTTTGAGGAGGGGTATTTTCTCTGCATGTAACACATCCTGCACAAACACTGTCTCTCCTGCCCGTCTCCCACTATAAAGTCCAAAGAGACTTGTCTTGTTGCCTTAACTTCCCTCCTTTGCTCTCCCTCTTTGCTTCCCACTCTCCCTCTGGGCTTTGAAGAACTGCACSCCATGAACCTAATTTCTTTCTCTCTTATGAAGACTTGGGAAGAAGCAACCCAAAACTGTTTCCATGCCAGAGGGTGTCCTGAGGGTGCTGAGGATGAGGATTTCATGTTGCTCTCTCTACCTGCCTTTCTATTTCTCTTGCTTGTTCAAGAGATCTCCTCTAGAATAGTCCCACTGAAGATGGTGTTCCAGTTGCCTCACTGCTACTCAGTGCTCCAGACTGAGTGGTAACGGGAATGAAGCTCAGTCATTAGGATTGTTTCCACTGAGTCTGACAGGTCTCTGTCTTGGTGTTTGTCACAGACACGTTTGACATACGTAGAAGTCTGTGGGCTTTGGTAGTCTGAAATAGCATGTTGCAGGAAATGAGAAATAAATCTCCTCAAACTGAAGGCAAGTTAAACTTGCAAAAATATGACTGGAAATCTAGCCAAAGAATTCATGCTAACACTTTCAAAAAAAAAAACAAAAAAAAAAAAAGATCCAAATCTCCAACTGGTGTAAGTTGTGCTAGCGCTAGCAATTGCATGTATTGCTGGTGGATTCTTTTGCTTCTGTGCCCTGGATATTTTTGAGGCAAAAAAGGGATTGTGATCAGGCTGAAAATTGCAAATTAAATTTGCAAACAAAATAAACAAACAAAGTTCAGATTGAGCAGGAATTGTATTTTGAGAAATCATTAGCATTCCTAAACAAAAATGTTGCTATCTTGATGAGTGTGTCTCCAGCTCCRGGAGCTAAGTGATGACATTGGAAATCTCAGTCCTCACTTAGAAATTCATCCTTGGTTTCTGCATCTACACCAACAGAGAAACTGTTGGAGAACACGTTCTGCAGGATCAGTAAGAAGAAAGAATTGGGTGCAATGTAATGTTTAGCCAACTCCATGATTTCTGATGCTGCATGAATGTCCGTGTCCAAAGTTTCAGCTGACTCTTTTGACCTTTTGGTGGCTTGTGGCATTTCCCTAGTCTTGCTCACCTTGACCATGCACAGAAAAAAATCACCCTGAGCAGCTTTTTTGAATGTCCAAGGGCCCCCATTTCTAAGCAAGCAAGGAGATTGTTCAGAGAGCATGAAATTAGAAATAGTTGATACTAAGTTATCCATATGTGGATGGCCTCTAGGCTTTAAGGTTTGCATAAATGGACTGACATAAATGTCAGTGCAAAACACTTGCTCGCCTGCCTCAGTTTAAGTATGTGAGGGACTGCACTGACCTGCATGGAGCAGCTCCCACAGGAAGGCTGTGTAAGCTTTTGCACTTCCAGTTTTAGTCAGGTCTTACATGGTCCCTGCGTTGGGCTTTCATCAATCCAGATGAGACTTTTCCATCACATTTGAGGTGGCTCGCCCAGTGACACCCAGATGTAAACCAGAGCGTCCAAGTCAATATGTCCTCGTTTACATTGAGCTGAGTGGGGTCCAGCTCAATCAATGGATGGATTTTGTCTTTTTTTTCTTAATTGCTGATGACCTCAACCAACAGGCAATGTCTAGTTGTCTATCAAGCCAAAGCAAAATATTATGATCATGTATGTTTAATCTATATTTTATTGAACTGTGTAAATATACGTGGGAATCAAGGGCCTTATACTGAAAGCGTGGAGTTCTCCAGGGTTTTAATAGTCTTTTGATCGCAGCTCCTAGGAAGTTGCCATAGTAACCCTAGTTATCATGAAGTTTGGGTACTGTGCAGGGAGGAAAATGGCCTTGAGGCACATTTCTCTTGCCTGCTCTGTACAAACACTGATTTGTCAGCTCCTCTTTCCTAACACAGAAAGAAGGGAGCTGAGTCACTCTTAAGTGGTTGGTTTTTTTCTTGAGCATTATGAAGATGGATGATTGGCGAGGCTGGTGGAGCTTGGTGTGTGAAGCCAAAGAAAGGGTTCCCAGATGGAAGCGTATCCTGTAAATTATCTCTTGCTTTGTGATGTAAAATGTACAGTGTTTGCACTAGAATAGAGATGATAATTTTCAATAAAAGAGGGAAAAATCTCCCTAATCCTTTCTATAAGCTGCCACATACGTGTCATGTGTTGCTGCCCTGATGTTGCCCCTACAACACCAGCTACGGCTGGAGGATCCCAGAGCACTGGATCACACATGGGAACTGGGTCTGACATGGATGTATTGAGGGCTACTGGATGCAGGCTTAAAARGAGTGTAAAGCAGGAAACATCAACAAAGATTTCTCTTAACAGAGGTGTTTTTCAGGAAGAGACAAGTGACTCTGCCCATGGCTTTTCCCCTAGTTCCCTCCATTGCATGGGGYTGTYGAGACAACGTGGGGACAGGAGGCAYGTAGGGACTTTTCCTGCAGAGAAAAGAGGGATAAACAGTGTTGGAGATCCTGACATGGGCCRTGAACACAAATTAGGAATAGAAAAGGGAACCCCACTGCCTAGGCGAGAGCAAAAGAAATGGGCTTGGGGGGAAGAAGCTCCACTGCCAAGCAAGGAAGACCACCAGAAGGAGCCAAATGCCTAACGATGACTAATTAGTGTAGCAGCCTATAAAGGCACAAACGAGGGCAAGGTGAAGGGGTTTCTGTGGATGCGTGAGCTAAGGTGGAGAAGGCTGGGCTGGAGATGGTGAGTTATGGCTCAGAAATGGGGTGTTTGTGGTGGCAGAAAAAGCCACCAGAAGTGGGACTGGAACCTTAGCAATCCTGGCAGAGGGTTGGAGCAGGCACTGAGGTTGAATTGAAGTCCAGTCCTCCCTTTGTCCCATGCTGCTGGGACAGCTGAAGGCGTCTAAAGCATGGGAGGAGAAGCAAAGCCRCACAGCTGTAGAGTTCTCCTGATGTCCGAAAGTGCCCGTGGAGCACGTTGGGCTGGTGTGCTGCCCAGCAGGCAGCTCAGCCCTCCTGTGGCTGAGTGAGCACGGCTCTGGAGAGGAAGAGAAGAATCTTAGAGCATGGGGCTGTACTAGCCAGATCTATGCACCTGGGGCACACTGGAGGCAGCAAACTTCTGCATACTTGTTTTTTTTTTTTTCCTTTTTCCTTTTGCTTGCTGGCAGCATTTTTCACAAAAAGGGACTGTGTTATACTTACTAACCCCAAACGAGCCTCCTCATTTTGTGGACTTGGTAGCTCTTTCCTCTTGGGCAATGGCTTTCGAAGTAGCAGGAGTGACTTAACCCCCATTTCCCTGCAGTTGTCCATAGGGCAGGGAGAGATGCAGAGAAAATTAACAGCAGGCTCAAGGATGACAAATGGCAACCAGCATCTTCTGTCTCATCCTTCTTCTTTAATATTTATTTTTTAAAAAGATTAGAGTTACTCTTTCCAGCGTCTTGGCCAAACCCTGCTCTCCGTCTAGCTCAAGTCCCCCAGCAGCTTTGTACAGACGCTGTTTTCCTCCGCTTCCTGCCCTCGCTGTCAGAGCGATGCCAGATGTTCTCCCAGCTGCTGTTTTCCAGCCCAGAGGTGGTTTTGGCGCGGGGCTGGGTGGAGCCGGCCCGCGTGAATGGGAGGTGCTAAAATTAGGCACCACGCTCCTGCAACGCACCGCGGGCAGCCGGCCAGCCCGGAGCCGGCACGCACGGAGCAGAGCAGCTTTCATCGCTGGCCAGCCCTAATTAGCGGCAGAGATGACGAGCTTTCCTGGAGATGAGCATGGGAAGCCCAAGTTTCCCATGGCTTTGTCTCCCTGGGACAAAGCGGTGGGACTGGGAAGGTGGATGCTCCCACGAAAGCTCAGAGCAGAAATG